GGAAGATGGCAATCGTTTGAGACCGTTACCCCTGTTCGACAGGCTTTTGGTCCCCGAGCGCCCGTGTACTCGGATTTGTTCCTAGGTTTGGATGAGGATCAGGTGCCCCTTGCCCTGCTGCAGAGAGCCTACCGGCCCTCTCCCGATACTCTCGATTGGATTTGGGAGTACCTGTCTGCAGCGTCCAAAGAGGGGCCCCGTCAGGAAACCGCCAGCTTCTGGCTGCGACCCATCCCCACGAGGCAATCCGTCTGAGCTTTCTTTTCCATGAGCCCGTTTCACCCTGTGCAGTTTTGGGACGCGCTCCCACATGAGCCCGGACGTCCGCTCGCAAGATACGCAAGATATACTACTTTAGGACTTTGGGTTTCAGGTTGAAGGTTCTGGGTCTTGGGTTCTAGGGTCTAGGGCTTAGGGTCTGATGTAGTGGCCTTAATAGTTACCTGATACTATTCTGGGGGTTCCTTATTCTAATTAGAGAATAATGTACCCCCAAAACCCTATTCCAATTATTAATTATTAAGGCCCTTATAGTCAGGTAGAAGCTTCCTTTGAGGGTACTGTAGGGGCTTTGTGGTAAAAGTGAGGCCAATGCTGGTAGAGGTGTGAGGATGCCTTGGTTTAGGGTTTAGGGTCTAGGGGTTTAGGGGTTTAGGGTTTAGGGGTGTAGGGGTTTAGGGTTTACGGGTTTAGGGTTTAGGGTTTAGGTATTAGGGATCCTTCAAGTTGGGCGTTCGCAAGTTTATGCTTGAGGACCCAAAATTGCATGTGGAAAAGCCTGCTGAATGGAATCAAAAGGCTCTGATGTATCCTGTGAACTTGCGCGAAGGGCCGTGGGGCTTCGCAGAAATGGTACTCAAGTGTTGCTGAAATGTGGAGGTCTCCGAAAATAGGGACCCTAATATAGCACCCTGAATAGTAGGATCCCTATTATAAGGACCCCAAAATAAGGTACCCTAGATTTCGGAAAGTCCCATGTGGAAAGAGTACACATCGACTTTTCTTTTGCCCTAAACCCTAAACCCTAAACCCTAAACCCTAGCCCTAGATCCTCTTAAGGAACCCTAAAAGGGACCTCTATTATCTTCCTTAGCTCAGGGGGTATTTTGCCGGAGATCTTGGCTCGCATGAAGCGGTTCAGTGGGAACATGAGCGCTGGACAGCTGGAGACCGACCTAAGGGATTCAGGGGTTAGGGTTTAGGGGTTAGGGTTTAGGGTTTAGGGTAGTTGGAGACATACATACTGACCGTCTGGGGTTTAGGGTGGCTTTTTTTGGGGGGTTTAGGGTTTGGGGTTCCTTGAAGGGTACAAAAGGGTTCTATAAGGGTACTTTAGGGTTTTATTGTAGGGGCCCGTTCAAACTCAGATCGGTGCACCACAGAACCTAGCTTTTTCGGGTTCCTGATTATGGTTTTCTCCTCAACCTCCCAAATTGGTAGGTTCTTTCCTTGAAGACGAAATGAACCCTAAAAGGGCTTAAGGTTCAGCCTTACATAATAGGGTCTTTGGGCCCAAAAGCCTTAAAATATGAGTCCTTAGAGGGTAAGGGTATGGGGGTTTCATAGAATAAGGGTATTCGGGCCCCTACTTCTAAGGTTCACTTCGCCCTCTTTAGGTTAGGATCAAGCCCTAAACCCTTATAGACACCCTATATCCCGAAAAGGAACCCTACAAATGGACCCTCGATACCACTGTGTTTGAGACAGCTTGGGCACTTCAATGGGGATCATGAAAAACACCACCTGCACCTACCTGTTTCAGGATTTTTGTTGAGGAAATTGTTTTAACGAATCCCAAACATGTAGGTTTCTTGGGGTCCAGGTGAACCTTGCTGGCCTACAGACGGGGTTAAAAGGGAGTTTGGGGTTAAAGTGAGGTTGTGTGCTCACAACACACGGGTCTTGAGCACACATGATTCTCCCTGGTGCTTCATGATGCTGGCTGATGGATTAAATTAGGCTGCAGGATGCTGCATGATGCTCCAAGATCCATGATGCTTCCTTCATGGCTCGATTTGCATGAGTCAA